TTGTAACATGCCACCTTGATAAATACACTTTCAGAATGACCTGGAAGACCAGGTTCCAATTTCGACTTCCCTGACTCCTGGGAGTTTTGAAGGACAATGTTATGGAGGGAGAGACAGCTCCACTCCCACCCTGGCCCCAGCCAGCACCCCCCCTTCCTACTGCCAACTCCTGCTGCACCACAAGGGACTCATATGCATGTATGTAGACACCCAGCCTCACCTCCTAGTTCCATCTTCATGCCCTGCAAACAGCTGTCCCTTAGCCATCTTCAGTCGTCCCTCAGGTCTAGGGTGCACACCTAGTGGCATAACCTGCCCTGTGGAAAACAGGCTCAGAGCAGAGGCTTGCATGAGATGGGAACAAGCTGGCGGCCATCCGGGCAGGGGCCTTCAGAGTCATAGGTATGGGGCATGTGGTCTTGAAAGGGATGAGCAGGCTCCTCCCCTTGGCGCTTCTGACTCCTCATCCCACGGGGAGGGGGATATCCCGGCCAGAGCAGAGCCCTTGAAAACGCTCAGCTAGGGCATGGACATCCCTGCCCTTGCCCAGATTTAAGGGTGCTTACTAGATCCACCCTTCCCCAGCAGCCTCCAGAGCTCAGGCCAGGAACTGAAGCTGTCATTCCATTGGAGGGCAGCTTGGACGACCCCCAAACGGGACTTTCAGTCACTTAACATTATTTATCTTCCTGGAAAAATTTAGTGCAGCTGGATCCCAACTTGTGGATTTCTGGAGGTGGGGAGGGCAGGGAGGTGATGACAACGGGGAATTAATTTTTCGGTTGGGTCTCTAAGCCAGTTTGTTCCCCGGAAGCATAGTCCCAAGTGGGCGCCTGCTGCCACTGGTCCCTGCCCTGCTGGGGCCCCTCTCCTCACCTTGGAGATAAAAACAGGGTGACTAAGAGATGAGGAGGTGAGGGGTCCTGGGCAGCCCATACAGGTCCAGCCGAGATCCAGGGACCAGCAGGGGGCAGGGGCTGGTGGGTGGTGGTGGTGAAGGGCATTGCTCTCTCTGGCCAAGTTTTAAATAAAACTTCCAACCCCCACCCCCACCCCTTGCAGATCGGCTTTGCTGTCCTACACATGAGGGGACACTTATACTTGTTGAGCCCTCACCAGGCGCCAGGCACTGTGCTAAGCGCTCTATTGCGTATTTTCACTTAATCCTTACCGCCACCCTATGAGGTGAGTGCTATTATTATCCCCATTTTACAGGTGGGAAGCAAACTCAAAGAGGTTAAGTAACTTGCCCAAGGTCACACAGTAGGTAGAGGTGATAGAATTCAAGTCTAACTGACCCCAAAGCCCCCATTCTTTCTACTATAACACGCTGCCTCCCAGAAGCAAGAAACTGGCACAGAGGCAGAAGGGATGAAGATCAGTTATGAGCAAGAACTTCCTGACAATGATAGTGTGTGGTGTAGAAGGAGACAATGGAATGGGGAAATTAAACAGACACAGGAAGTCCTCCCACCTGAGTTTGGATGTTGGTCTGTCCATAGGTTTGTGATGATCTAGAAAGTCTGTGGGGTCCCTCCTGGATCCAAGGCAGCACCCTGACCTACTTCCATTCTATAATCTTGGGTCCTCTGCTGTACCCTAACCCAGCACCAAGGCCCAAAGTCCAACTTTCCTTTGTATCTCAGAGCTCTAAGCATCACATCTGAGCTGTCAGTCAGCCCAGGACCTCCTCTTCCAGGAAGCCTTCCTTGAGGTTCTGGGAGGCAGGAACCCTTTCCTACATCCCAAATCCCAACACGGAGTGTGCAAATGCACCCTATGTCTACAATAAGGGACACTTCTGTGATCACCTCCCCCACCTGGCTCTGGAACACGGACACAGAAAAGACTTGCTCAGTCCCCAGGTCTCTGGGTTCCCCAGGAAATCTGTACGACCCCTGCTCCCTAATCCCTCCATACCTTGCGATCTGTACTCCAGTGTAAATAAATGATGCAGGTGCCCAAGAGCTCATCAGAAAACCCAGGCCCCAGCTCAGCTATGCAGTGGATCTTACCTCTTTTGCACACAGAACTATAGCCGTTCGGGCCACCCCATCACTAAGTGTGTGTGTGTCGGCGGGGTTGGGGGTGGGGTAGGGGGGCAGACAGGATGCTACTGGGGCACGCTAGTCAATGAGGTTCCTTACTTGGATCCCTGCAGTCACCACCCCCAACCTGCTCTCTTCCAGAAAACTGTGCCTATTGCCCAGCTCTGCCTTTTCCTATCCCTTGGAGCCCACCTCGGCATCAGGGATAATCAGCCAGGATCCTCTAAACTTCCCCAGAGTTTAGTCCCACCCGTTAGATGCCCTGGGTCCACGCGCAGAACCAATAGGGATGTCCTCACTGCCTCTTGGGGGTCCCCCAGTTTTGAGACGAGGTCACAGGACAGGTGGAAGGGGCTGCCTTGTTCGCCCGTACGGCCCTCGAGGTCCTCAGGGTGGACCGAACCGCGTCGCTGACTTACCTGCGGGGCAGAGACGGAGCCCGCCGCGGCCACCTGCTCTCGCTGTGCTCGAGAGCGCAGCAGCTTTGGGCTGGCCGGGGAGGGGGCGGGGCGGGACCG